GCATGTGGGTTGACAAAGAAAAAAAGGGGAAAAAGCGAAAGCGTGGACATAATAAGTCCTTATGTATTTGAGGTGTGTTTCACTTACTAGGTTGTAACATTAATTTTCAAGTCTTACTTTGTTTGTGCAACTTGATTTATAAATGTTTGCTTGTCAAAATCATTTCTCATTGCCATCTATATATTAATGTTTAATTCACGTTATGGTTTTTATAGCAATTAATTTAGTTTAACTAACCAAATTGATTTTTTCTTTTTATCTTTTAAATAGGTTGATGGCTCGGAAAAGAAAGCGAGTGCGTGAAACCGAAAATTCTGACAACAACGAATGCGAGGAAGAAAGAGGTCGCACGGTGCTTAGAATGGTTGGGAAAGCTATCCATGCTGGCTCCAAAATCCCTTTACAATGGCATCCAACCAAAAGAATCCCTATTGGGAGTCATAGAGGTTATTTTTCCACCTATATTGGTGTAGTTGTGCGTGAAAGAGTAAGTATCACCTACAACAAGTGGTTAGATGTTCCACAAGCAGTCCTAGATCATTTGTATGACAATATCTCGGTAAGTAAACTGAGTTCATATGTTACATAATTAAAAAAAGTTTAGGGTTATATATATGTATGTCTAACATATGACATTATATGAATGTAGAAGGGGTTTGATGTCCTTGAAGGTCGCAAAAGATGGATACTAAATCGAGCTTCTGATCGATGGAGAGCTTTCAAGACTAGACTAAGATTTAGGTGGTTGTATCTCAAAGATGGATCAATTAACAGTACACCACCTTTGAAATATCCTTTTATAACTCCGGATGATTGGGGGGCATTCATCACAACTTGTAGTTCTAATGACTTCAAGGTGCTAGTTCATCATTATGGCATTACCTTATTATTTTTTTTGTATGCGTTTATAAATTTAATGTTTGTGTAAAATAACTTTGAATGTGTACTTAATTGCATAAATTGAGTGAAAGTAATCGTGAAAGGTCTAAAAAGAAGACCTCAAAATATCGAGGTGGGAGACTTGGCTATCAATATTTTGAAGAAGAAATTGTAAGTATATGTTGCTTTTATTCTGCTTGATATGATCTATACTAAAGTGCCTGCTGTGATTTTGATTCTTTTGTATTTTTGCTTTACTTCACCTCTGTCTTGTTGCTGTCCTGCTATCACTAATCTGTGATGTTAGTGAGTCATGGATCAAACCAAATTATTAGCTTAGCATAGTTTTTTTTGCCAGAAGATGCTTTTGAACAGCCATCCCCCCCTCCCTCTTTCTTCAGAACCTCCATACTCATTGTACAAGGAAGTGTTATTGTATTGATACCTTTCAATTTGATGCAAAATGATAAATAAGTGGAGGTTTTGGAACAAAACCAAGGGTATCTATGTTCATTTGGACAGAAGCAGCTTGATTAAGTGGTTTTTAGATTCATTTGGACAGAAGCAGCTTGAAATAATGAATACATCCCCATTTTTTTAAATGACATCCCAGATTCCCAGTGGCTTTAGCTACTCATGATAGCAGAACACAGTATCTATGTTCTGTTCATGTTTCATACATGATTATAAAAGTCAATTACTGATTATCAGTTTCTGATAATTTATTGTAGTAAGGGTGTGCATGAATGCATAAAATTGCATGGTCTCCTACAGTCAAGCACACCCCTTTATTCTAGGATCATAAACGGTTAGTATCCATTTATTGTAGATTTATGCCTCGGTTTGAGCTAATTATTTGATCCGAGCCTGCTCAACTGTAGAGAATAATAAGGATGCCCTGAAATCCAAACATATGTAATGTCATAAACTGCCACTTTAAAATCTGATATAAGTTAGTTAATAAATCAGAAACCTAAACAATTAACTACGAATTCATGCAATTATGCAAGCAAAAGCTATAAAAATGGAGAAACATATAGAATCTTATAATAAGTGAAATTAAAGATAACAAGATTTTATTAATCTGTAAGGGTTTCCATGGTTATATTTCATATTTTCTCTTCTTACTCAAACTTGCCAGCTAAATTATAACACGAACAATGCTTGGATTGACTATTGATTTTGGATTGTACATATATACGTAGTATATTGATATAACATATAATGTCATATCTTGCACCCTGTAAGACCAACATGATCCTAAGTAACAGCTACGCACGAGTGGAAATGAACCAAGAATAAAGGAGAGTGCCTGACTATAGGAGACCATGAAATTTCATGTATTCATGCACACCCTTACTACAATATATTCTAAAGCTCTCCAGCAGACATATGGAATATAAACAGCTAATAAGCTATGCACTCGTAAGTCAATTCAACGTGTATCTTCACATGGAGCCATTCTGATAATCAACCTTCAATTAATCATAATCTCTCTAATTGAAAAATAATTGTATTTATAATTCCATTTTTATTAATATTTCTTCAAAGAGAAACTTTTTTTACCTTTGGATTTCACTTTAGAAACAAAGAATTACTTACGGAGTATAATACAGTAATTGACTTTTATAATCATGTATCTTGTACTGTTAAAAGTTTAATTTATGATTTTGTATTTTCACAATGTAGGAGAAACATCTTGAAAAGCAAGGAATACATGTCTCAAACGTGCCTCGACATTTGACTTGGATTAAAGCTCATTCTCACGTCAAGAATGGAGTTCTGACTGTTGACAATCCTGTTGATAAAGAAATCCATGATGCAATAGTAAGTTAGCAACAATCTGATGCAATTTCTCGTTGTTTTGGTAACCACCTGCATGTAATATAAGTTCCTTACTTTACGGCTAAAAATAGATACTAACCGTTTATGATCTTGGGCTCGTCTTACAGATTAGATTGGAGGCCCAAGTACAAAAAGGTGAAATAGTTGCTACAGGTCAAGATGATATCTTGTCAAGAGCTTTAAACAAACCAGAGCATGGAGGTTTTGTTAGGGCTGTAGGATCAGGCATAACTAACAAGGAGTACTTTGGATACAACAAACCAACCGCACCAAGCGAATTACATGCTAGAATGAATGCGATGAACTCAAGGATGGCAACAATGAGCAAGCAGCAAAACTTTATAATTTCCTTCATGATGTCATGCTTAACCCAAGAGCAATTAGGAGCATTCATGGCTGGTGGTGCTCAGCAAGGTGTTTTTGGTGGCAATCTTGCAAATTCAGGTGGGCTGCTTGGTGGGGAAGCAGGAGGTTCGGGTGGTTTCCTTGGTGCTTTTGGGAACCATTTTGGTTCTGGTGACATGAGCGGTTCTAGTAGCCAAGGGGCAGCTGGAAATGGGTTGGATGCTGCTCATTTAGACAGCTCATTTGGTAATGGTGTCCCTCTCACACAACTCTTGATGGGAGGTATGGAAAGGCACGACGTTGAAGGGCTTCACATTGGACATGATTCACCTGTGGATAAATCTCACAAACAAGCCTATACTGAGCAAATAATTGCGACAAACTCAGAACCTCAGTACACAAAAAGCCCAATCGTGGTCCATCCTCAACTTCAGAACCTCGAGACAGAGGCAGAGGCATACCATGTTCCTTGGCCTGAGGTGAACCATATGAATGCAGTTGAGCATACTCCAATTCCCCCACATCAAAGTCAAGTTGTGAATACCAACAACAACTACACATTTCCCGAGGTAAAGCCTTCTGAATTATGGGCTTTGTTATCAAGTCTCATATAATGCGAAGGTCATTTAAGCGAGATTTCATGTTTGATATCTGGTTGAGCCTTTTGTTTTCAGGGATGGAGTGATTGCCGCTTGGCAATTGAGGGAAGCGACAAAGAGCTACAGATTGTTGCTAACGGAAAAGTTTACATAGAAAACAACACGGAAGTTCTTGGTAATCATACCATATCGTTGCCCCATGGTCATCGTCGAGTAACCATTACAGAAGATTTAATGCCTTCTTCTCCCTTGCCGTGTCCCAACGATGAATTGATCTTTGTTTGTCAAGCTAAGAAGTCTTTCACAGTTTGGCCAAATCATTTGATACTCCCCCCACAGGTAAAGGAGAAAATCTGCATTCTTTTGCTACTATGTTGTTTCTACTATGCTCTTGCTACTGCTTCTGCATTCTGCATTCCAGTTATCATAGAATCTGCCCTAGAGTCCTTGAAATGCTCTCTGCTACTCCTGCATTCTGCATTCTGCTCCTGCATTCTGCTCCTGCATTTTTCTCCTGCATTCTGCATTTTTCTCCTGCATTTTGCATTTTTTCTTTTTTAGTTTTAATAATAATTTATAGCTTTTGCTTTTGCTTAGGTAAAAGAGGCCAAAAGAAAGCATCATTTTGTATTGGATATCTTCTTTCCTTACTTATAATAATAATTAATAGCTTTTGATTTGTTTTGCAACTTTCTAGGAAAAGCTAGAAAATTACTTAGGCCAAAAGAATATAAACAAGTTCAAATAAAATTATAAAGATAAAATTTAGAATGCATTATGCCTAGAGTAAAGAATATAAGTTTAAGATAGCAACACACCTCCCATAATGTAGCTCCAGCACTGAGTCATCCATCTGATCATGCCCATGAAAAGTAACTGAAGAAGACCTAGCCTGTCAAAGCCTCGACGCTGATAATAATTTAATAATCTTCAGATGGAGTGATACATGTGGAAGTTAGTGGTTGGCTGCTCTATTTTTTGTCATTGAGTCTTATTCGATCTTTGAGTTTCTCATTCCTATTTGTTGATTTCTTGTTCAATTTCTATTTAACCTGGGCTTTTCTGATCGGCAGGTCTGTAATTTGCCTTTTAGTATTACAGAAGTTTAGGTGAGCCAACAAGTGCTAGCTCTTCTTTAGTATTCTGGTTCACAGTGAGAATGTACTGATAAATGTTAATGATTGTCTGTCTTTGTACATATAAAGCTGTCACAGTGAGATGGTACTGATAAATGTTAATGATAAATGGTTCACAGTGAGAAATATATCTTGTGATTCTGGTTCACAGTGACAAAGTATAAGTCTGCTGCATCTTTGTACATATAAAGCTGTCACAGCAAATTTGTATAATCTGAAAGATTTGGTCATGTACCCTTAAAGTAACTCTCGAGTTCCTGATTCATCTTAATCAAGCTAAACTCTCTTATTTTAAGCTCCTGATTAGTTGTTGATTTACTTTTGTTGCGTTTTTGCCGCTTTGGAGTTTGTATAATCTGAAAGATTTGCGTTTTTGTTGATTTACAACTTGGTCCCTTCTTACTTCTTAGCTTCGAGACTCGAGATTCTTATGTGGTTTTTGTCTTCCCTTTTAGATTCATGTGCAAGATTTCTTCTTCTAAAGCTTACATGCGTGTTATTTTTGTGTGAAACCATATTATTAAGGCGGACAAGCAACTAGATAAGGAGTTGAATATGACCACACCATCCCCACGATCAACATCCTCCCAAGCATCAACCACTCGTACCTATGTTGTTACCGACAAGGATCGTGAGAAGGTAACATCTACTTGGATGCGTGTTATGAGAAAAAAAGCTATGGGAATGCAAAAGACAGGTGATACCATCTCCATAACTATCCCGGAAAGCGTGTTTCTTAACGAAAATGGGTTGGATGTTTCACTTGACTTTGAAGACTTGCTTGATTGGTGTTTCCAAAGGGAGGTCGGAGAACCGCAAATGAAGGTTTTCATGAAGTAAGTTTCCATATAATATAGGTTCTAATTTTAATATTGTTTTTTCGGCCCATTAACTAATATTCATATGAATTTTCATGGGAAAAGACACCTAAAAGAACGTTGTCAAAAAGAAGGTGTATCGGGAATGTATGGGTTCTGTGACTGTAATGTTCTTTCACCATTGACACCGACAACGGATGAGCAAGTTCGATCTGACTACTTAGCCCATGTTTTTGGAACCAATGAGGGGAAAAATGTTAATTAATTATTCTTTGCTCCTTATAATGACAAGTAAGTGTAGTTTCTTTTTATTTTTTTTATAGATCTGAGTTATGTTAAATCCTCAAATTTTAATTAATCCCATTACTATGTATTTATTTTACAATATGTCTAGTCTGCATTGGACGTTAGCGGTGATTAGTCCATGGAATGGGTTGGTGTATTGGTTAGATCCACTTGGAGCAGAAAACGAAATCAACTCATTTGCACAAAAAATCATCAATGAGTATGTACTACTAAAATATTCACTTGGTTAACTTCTTGTGTTTATCTTATTGTCTAATCAAAATTAATGCAACCGTGCCATCTTGAAATGATTTTGTAGGGGAATAGTTAAATTCAGCATGAAGCATCGAAAAGATATCAAGAAAATAAAAAAGAATCCAAAAATAGGGTGGAAGCAACCACGTGTAAGTCATTATTATTTTTAGCATATTTCATACCTAGTAGTGTAAAATCAGATCCAAAACTGTGCTAATGGTTATTTTTTTTGTATCAGTGTCCTCTACAATCTACATACACAAAGCATTGTGGTTACTTTGTATGTCGCTATATGCTGGACATTATACAGAACAGAGTATTATGGATTTCTGAGCAGGTATATTCAACATACATGTCATTTAAACTTGGTATTTTATTTATGCATGCATATGTTAACCCCTCTATCTCCCCCCCCCCCCCTCTAGCATTTCCTTTGGTATTGAAGATTACTCCCATCTTGATAATTGGACTGTGTTCAGAACTTGAATTGCTTGCTTTATTGATGACCTGTGATTACCATTGTTTGATCACCTTTGTCCAGTCAATCAAACCCATTTATAGTTTATAACTGTCAATATTTGTAGAATGACCATGTAAAATAGGAACTGCTGACTATAATGAAGGCAGAGTAGGTTACATTGAACTTTCAAGTACTAAGAAGTTTTTTTTTTTTTTTTTTTTTTTTGAGGAAAAAGTACTAGGAATTTTTTTAGTACGCACCTGTAAGCTAACTACTGATGGGTATATTGAACTTCATAATGCTTGGATTGTGTATAATGTTGATCACCAGTTTTTGCTTGTTGGGTTAGTAGCTTTAATTACCTGACTGAAGATGGTGGCTTTAGCTGTTTGCTGGAATTACATGATAAGAATAATGTGGTTAAGATAATCACCTCTAAACTCAACAAACGGAGATCGAATCGCCGATAACAGCACCTTCATCACACAAAACTGAACCAGCTCATCTCCCAAACCACAACACTTACAAACGGATTCAATCAGCAGAAAAACCAGCAAATTGCTGTTGTCATCGAAAGAACGATCGAGCTTATAATCCCTTTCCTTGATGTGTTCCTGCCATAAGATAATCACCTCTGTATACTGAATTTAAGTAAGAAAGTAGGCAAAGTAGGTCTTTAGCTCAATTGTAAATGCATGTAATCTAATTTGTTGTTATTTCATAACTTTTATGTAATTATATATCTTCTTTACTCATTTACTAATGGCATATGTTGTAGATTTTTCCCAAAGATCCTTGCACATATTCTTCAGAAGAAATTGACGAGATTAGAGACTTATGGATTCAATATGTTCTTGATCATGAGGAGCCGGAAGAACCTTAGTGATTGGTAATTACAGCATGATTACTGTTAGTATTGATACTTGAAAAATCTCTACATTTTGTATTTTGATACATTACATTGGCAATTAGCTATTATTGTGTACATATATTAGTACTGTGTTGGATATATATAGTTTGATGCATATATATATATATATATTTGAATGTTATTTGTATATAATATATTAGCAGGTTCAAGGATTATTTTTGGTGCAATTTAATAATATTGAGCAGGATATATATATATACAGGATTATTTTTAGTGATTACAGGTTGGAAGGAAAAAAAATGAAATCATTTGGCGCAAAAATTTAATGCATCATGCAGGTAGCTAGGATTTAAAAATTTGATTATTCGAAAGAAAAAAAAATTTATAAAAAAAAAAATTACCCATTTGAGACCGGTTATCATACATGCATGGTCTATACACAAACGTTGTATATTCTTTTTAAAAAAAAGAGAGACCGCCTAACTAAGAAAGTGGTCTTAGTTATTTCAAAAACTGAGACCGCCTAAGTTAAAAAAGCGGTCTTAGTTTGGTATACAAGAGACCGCTTTTCTCACAAAAACGGTCTCTTATTCTTCTACAATTTCAAAATATCAACCACCCAAAGAGACCGTTTTTCTTAGATAATAGGTCTCTAGCATAGCAACATAAGACCGCCTCTTTACAAGCGGTCTCTTAGCCAAAGAGACCACTGAGCTAGAGACCGCCTCTAAAGCAGTCTCTTTGGCCTTTTTCAACTGGTCTCTTTGGCCTTTTTTGTAGTAGTGAAGGGGTTTTTGATTAGTTTAAAATGCTACAATTTTATTTAAAGTAGTATAATTGTGAATTTTAATCAAAGGGTGTGATTACCTATTAAAAAGGAGTTTAATTAGGGGTTTTAAAATAATTTTCAGATTATTTTAAATGGTTTAAAGTGATTTTAAGTTGCTGGAAATTGTGTATACAAGGGTAATTAATTTAGTATTATTGTCCCTTTATGTAGGAGACTTGATTCAGGAATTGTTGTAGTGTTTTCGGCCACCTTAAGGGAGTTATTGAGGTACGTTCGCGTACTTAGCATAATTATGTTGATGTAGTAGCATGCTAAATGTGTTTGATTTATTACAAGTAATATCATGCTAGGTTTGGAATGAAAATTATGATTTGGATGTTATTGGTGATTGGATTATGAAGCATAATTTATTTGTGATGGATCATTGAATGGAAAATAATAGCTTGAAATATTATTTATGAACCACATATTTATTTATGGAATGATAGAGAGCATGTTTAATTAAACTAATTGTTTAATTTGGTTTGGAATATTGAAAAGGAATTTAATTATGGTTCATATAATTTTTATTGATGCTTTAAGCATGAGGAATGTGCTATATAAGTGTCTATGTACACGAGGAATAAATTGTGTGTTGGTGCCTTTGTGCACTTAAGGTGTTTTTTTTAACACCGAGGGATAGGATTTTTGGCGCTTTATGCGTTTAAGGTGTCTTTGACACTGAGGTAGAATTAAAAAGGGTTCAACATTAAATAATATGTGGTCACTAATTATTCAAGAATTAAATTGGTATGTTTGGTTGATTGAACAATTATTGTTGATTGATTTATTATGCTTTGAGAGTCATCACCAAGTCCAATAACATGTAAATAACGTAATAAAGTGAAAGAGATTACGCACCAAAACTCTTGGAACGTATATACCTTGAGTATGAACAATGGGGGGAGTTATGGGGTTTTATATTTAACCATAACTTCTAATGGAGTACAGGACGCTGTACATTCCTTTTTTATTTATTATTATGCGCAAGAATTCCGCCACCTTTGAGTTGTTTTGTCGCTGGCACGATTAGCTCCCGTGTCAGTTAACCTCAATTTATTTGGGGGAGGTATAGTTCGAAACCCGTTCGATGCGTAATCAACGCTAAATGAATTATTTAGTGTCTAGTTAAAGTGTCTTGTTGATTGTTGTGTGTGCTTGTAAACAGGTGCATTGAGGTAAGTGTGTGTTGATAGGTGAAAGCATGTTAGTGTGTTTAATTACGCTTATGTACTCAGCTTTGCTGATTGTGTGTGTGTTTGTGTGTTTGGCAATGTCTTTATCTTGGCCCTATGATGACCCATTTTTAATGGAGAGTAGTGGGGACAAGTAGAGATAAATTTTTCAGGTTGAAACATATTCATGACGGGGCATGAGTGAAGAGTGAATCATGCTAGTTTACGATGTGTTTTATGCTTTATTTATTTATGATACATTTTGTGTGGACTAACGCAAAGGTTTGGTTTTGGAACGGTTTTGAATAAGGGCCTTTAATGGTTCCAAGTTGTAGTTTGATTTTATTTGACTTCGTTTGTTTTGGTTTTAAACTTTACTTACGTTTGGTTGTCTTTATGTTGACTTGTTTTGAACGGATTTTAATTCTAAGTCTTCCGCTGTGTATCTTTGATAATTGCCTTAGCCGTTTTCACGGTGGCGGTAATGTCTTAGATATTCCTAAATCATATTTTAAAGAGTAAAATAGGTATTTTAAAGGAAAGGAATTTATAGGGTGTTACATTGTCTTCGAGTTATTCATCGACTATTGGGGTACTCGGTTTTCCCCAAACAAGAGTTAAGCAAGATGAGCAAGTTGGAGCTCAAAATCTTATGGTTGGCCACTCGAGGAGAGTATCGTGGAAGGTTGAACTTGGGGTATATCTTTGCCTCTTATTGTGTGGCATTGCAAGATTGGGACACTGGGGAGATTCCTTGTAGTGGGATGGTCACTGGGCTCTTGACCAACCTCAACCTTGATCATCATTTGCCCTTTTTCACACCAGTGGGGGATGCCAACACCCTCTACCTTAATCTAAAGCAACTTGGGCAAATCCAATTCATCTCAAAGCACTATGAGGAGGGGGCTTATGATTGGCTCTGAAACAATGAGCATTGGTGCTACCTTCCCAACCCATCCTTGACTTCTCTCCACCTACTCCCAATGTGTGGCATGTTTCTAAGAGCAACCGCCGCCCCTACTTCGACTCCAATGAAGAAGAAGTGGAGGAAGAAGAGCCACAACAACAATTTCAACAACATCAACAACAATAACATCGACAACAACAACAACAACAACATGGACAAGAGCAGCAACGTCAATTTGCTAGCTCCGACTTGGAGGCCCTAAGCAACCAAATAAGTGGGTTGTAAGTGCGCTTGGAGGGCATGTATGATCAAGACTTTGAGGTCCTCTACACAAAAATGCGAGGTATTTCGAAGATGCAACAAGGTATGTTTCTCAAACAACAACAACTTTATGATGCGGAAGTTAACCGAGGGAACATCACTCCTCTGGTTAACTATCCTTATTTTCCTCCCCAGCAAGGTCATATACCTTCTTATGGGCATCCTTATTGGCAAGGTCCACCGGAGTCCGGTACCGAGCCGCGCTCATTCCCGGATGACCATGGTAACTACGATTACCGTGCTCCTAGAGGATGTGATTATAGGGGTGACCCTAATTACCCCTATGTGCACCTCGACCATCCACTACCGCTTGCTTTGCCCGAGCAATTCACACCTCTTGCCCCTTGGAAACAAGATAACTTTAGGGGGCCTTATGGTTGGCCCGAGGGTTTCACCAGAGGTTGGGCTCCTTACTCACCCCCAACCTTCGATGACCATGTCGGCCACATTGATCCTAATGAGGCCGGGCCAAGCGGTGGTGGTGGTGATGAGTCTTAGTTCCCTCACTTTTGTGCTTTTTGCCTCCATCCCTTATGTTAAGTGTGCTTTCTTTGTATTGATGGGATGTTGTGATGTATTCATGTTTAGCTTGGGGGAACTTCATTTTTCTAGGGGTTTGGCTCGGTCGCCAATATTTTTTGTTGAAGCTTACCTTGTTTCTTATTTGCATCTTATATGATGGTTCTCTTTTCTTGATCTCTAGTCTTGATGATGTATGTTGCTTGTCCTATGAGTTTCTTTTGCCGTTGTTGTTGTGATGTCTTTTCTATGATGATGTTGATTGATTCTTGCTCCCATTTATCCAAATCCCATATATCCAAAGCCCTTGAATCCAAATCCCTTTGAATCCAAATTTTGTAGTCTAGTGTCTTTTATTTAGCTAGTTGTTTAACTTGGTTACTTAGTTTTTCTTTTATTTCTTTTTACTCTTTGTTATCTTAGTTTAGTGTTACTTTGTAGTTTCCTTTTCTTTTGTTTTGAAGTTACTAACCATTTTCTTTGTTTATAGCTTCTTTTACTTTTCTTGTTCTCACATGGCTTTTTTATGATGCTTATGATTTTGGAGCACAACAAAGGTGGTTCATTTCTATCGCCTTTCTTGATTAACTAAGCATGGATAGCCCGGTGAGACCTTTCTAATTTTTCTTTTTGATTCTTTAGATGCATAGATTAGGTTTAGTTTAGGGGAAGTTGAACGGTTCGAGGATGATTGCTAGTTAACACTTAATGTGTTTGGGATCGATGACGATGTTGTCATTCGATCACTTGTATGTCAATTGGGATTTGTGTGTTTAACTTTCTTTCCAGTTCCTTTCTCCCTTTTCCTATTCTTCCTTTGCCTATGGCTTTCCTTTTCTTTTCTTTTCCTTTTATTTTTCTTTTCTCTTATTTTTCCTTTGTTCTTGTCTTGGTATGTGGTATGCTTTTGAGGCTTTATTTTTCACCCTTTTTGCTTTTCTTATGAATTGGACTTAATGCATTGGACTTTATCTTTTGAATGAATTTCTTCCTAGGTAGTAAAGGTATGCACGGTTTGAGAGTATGCTTGGTTGACTCTAGGATAGGTTTATGCTAAGGTAGTTGGTTTGAACTAGGAGGGTCATGAAGTCGGATTCTACTTGTTTGTGGCATGCTTGGTAGTTGCTCCCTATTGTTGATTTGACACCACTAGTGAGTTTTTGCTACATATATGTGAGGTTCATTGTTTTTCAAGCCTTCAACCTATTTTGTATGAGCGGCGTGGATCCTTGACTATTGCGCACCTAATCTAGAAAGCTTT